CCACCAGGATGACAGGTGTGACCACCACATCTGGCCCTTATTTGCAAAGTTTTGATCAGAAACAGATGTTAGGTTTATCAAATACATTGTCCCCCACGTTTTAGATGATCACATGGCTTTTATTTTTCAATCTATTAATATAATAAATTACATTAGTTGAATTTCAAATGTTAAGCAAAAGGTGCCTCATTGGAATAGCACCGGAGGAGCCTGCTGGCTACTGCTTGTCCCGTCTGTCACTGAGGCGGGTGTTGGCACCTCCAACTCTCCCTGAGGGTTGTCCACTTCTCCCTGCTCCCGATGCTCTCATGCTTCTGGTTGAGTGCATTTTACTGAGCCCTACCCTTGACCTTTTTTATTTTTGAAACAGGGCTTTGCTAAGTTGCTGAGGCTGGCCTTGAGTTTGGGATCCTCCTGCCTCAGCCTCCTCAGTTGCTGGGATGATGGCTGTGGCCACTGCACATAGTTGAGTGCATTCTAATGAGGAAAGTGTTCCCCCACCTGGATGAACGGGCCTGCTGCAGTACCAAAAGGACCCTCATCTTGCGCAGGGCGCTTGGCTGTGACACCTACTGTGGTGAATCATACCATCCCTGCAGTTTTCTGTGTCAGTGCAAGCTCGAGGTGCCTTTCCTACCCTCTCACTTTCCCTCTCCTTGCCCTTCTCGTCGATGTCCTGCCATCGGCCCCTGGTCCCCTCTGGTCATTCCTACTTTTTCATACTTACGCCACTGACACTTTATGTGATTTTGCGGATTTTAAACCTTCCAATGAGCTACTTAGTTTTCACTTTTCCTGGTTGTTCCTTGTTCCATTTTCTCCGTTTTTCCTGCCTCCTGTGTTCATGGTCACAGGGTCTCTGTCAGTTCACAGGGGGCTTTAGGGCCGTGCTGAGTGCCGGTAACTTTCCCAGCCCCTTGCTCTGTTGTCCAGATTCCTATCCAGCACTGCCTTTCTGGTCCTGGAGGACCTCCGTAACGTGTCCAGGGTACAAGTCCACTAGGATGGACTATGAAGGGCTGGGGATAGGCCAGGCTGGGCATGGACCTGGGGCCTTGTGCATGCCCGGCAGCCCTTCAGCACTGTGCTGCACCCCCAGGCTCACTTAGTTTTTGCATGTTCAAAAAAGTATTTATTTTGCCTTGTTCTTGAAAAATGTCTTGCTGGGAACAGAACATGAGGTGCGGTCTTCCTTTCACACTCTCCAGATGTCACTCCATGAGTCCCCACCTGCACTGCTCTGCCTAACCCAACCTGTGCCTGACTTCCTCTGAACATCACGTCTTTTTCGCTAGTTCCCTTGAGTGCTTTTCACTGACTTTCAGTCATTTGATTAGGGGTCTAGTCATCCTTTTCTTGTTCGAGGTTGTCAAGCCTCTGGGCTCTGTAGTCGGTCATTACTTCTTGGACTGTGCTCCTCCTGGCCCCCTGGCCCAGGCTGCAGTCCCCGTGGTGAGAGGTCATCCTGCAGCTCTCTGTGCTCCGTTCACTGGCTCTCCTCTCGCTGTGACTTTGGGTGACTGCTGCTGCCATTTCCCCAGTTCTTTCAAGTCTGCCTTCCTCACTGGTTTTTGCTTCTGAACCCTGATATGTTACCCTGTGCAGTAGTTCACTTTTCATGACTCCAGCTCTGCATGGCTGACATTCCGTGACCCACTGTGGAATCACTGGGATGGACTGGTCCGGGGTCGATGTCACTGGACACCTTTAAGACTTGGCGACACCTTGTTGTCCGTCATGTGAACATATGCCCTGGGGCTCAAGGGTCACCTCTCAGAGGGGTTTTCTCTTTTCCTGCCTTGGGCTAATTCAGCTTGGACTGCTCTGTGTCTACTATTCACCACTCTGCTCTTGCGACGGCATGCTCCTTTGGTCTTTCCTAATCTTGGGGTCGTTCCCACTTCAGAGAGACATAACCTGTAGTTATCCTTTACAGAGGTCTTGCTAGAGATCATATTTGTCTCTTTTGTGAATTAATATAGACCCTGATCTTTCACAAGCACCTAATTATTTTCTAGTTGGGGAGCAGATTGCCTCATTTCTGGCCATTGGGAGTCCTCGTCCCTTGGTGTCTTCAAAAGTAGCCTTGCTTCTGGCCAACATCTGATGTTCCAGCTCCACCCTGACTTTTCCTCTTCTAAGACATGGAAGTGGGCATTTTCCCAGAGTGCATGGGAAGAAGTATATTGTGACGGAAGAGGAGAGGGACATCTTTTTAGGGTCAGGAGGTCAGGAGTTCACTTTTTGCAAGTCAGCATGCCATTCTGTTGTAACTAACTTTCCTGCAAACTTGGGTTTCATCCACAACTGGGACTTCCTACTATTCCAACATCCAACCAGCGGGTAGCTGCGAAACACAAGAGGCATTAGGTACACAGTGACCGGGGTGCACACACGTATTCGCACCGTACCTTCCTGCTCAGAACTGGTCCTCTTGCACACAGTTCACTTGAAGGTTTTGCTTTTTTGTTTCCTTCTGGTACTTGGGATTGAACCCAGGCATGCTCTACCCTTGAGCTAACACCCCCAGCACTTTTTTCATTTTGTTTGGGACAGGGACTCACTAAGTTGCCCAGGCTGGTCTTAAACATGCAATCCTCCTGCCTCAGCCTCCTGAGTCACTAGAATTATAAGCATGGGCCACCGCACCTGGCTTGGCTTTTGATTTTAAAGTTGGTCCTGAGCCACTAATCTGATTTTCTGACCCACTGTGAGCCTCCACCTAGATGACCTCCCCACCCAGAGCCTGGTTTTCCTGTCTTTGAAGGTTGGTTCCTTTCTTTATTGGCCCTGTTGGATTTTACAATGGTCCATAGTTGCCTCCTTTTTTTCTTTCCCCCTTGCATATTTGGGAGCAGGGGAATGCTTTTTGACCAAAGGGGTCTTTCCCCTGTTTGCTTGTATTCTGCTCAAATCCTTGGCCAGCTCAAGTAGGGTTCTTATCTCCAGAGGGCTACCTTCCCAAAGGCAGAGCCATATTGGGGTTTATACAAGCATGTTCAGTATTCTCTTTATATATTGTTTTAATATATATTTTTTAGTTGTAGTTGGACACAATACGTTTATTTTATTTATTTTTATGTGGTGCTGAGGATCGAACCTAGAGTTTTGCACGTGCTAGGCGAGCGTTCTGCCAATGAGCCACAACCCCAGCCTTCTCTATATTTTATTTCTAGGCAAACTCCAGTAAATCCAGATTGTTCTCATGTTTTATATCTAAATAAGAGAGCTTTCACAACTCCCATCCCAAAACAAGAAACAGAATCTGTAGGAGTCCGTAGTGCTTTTTTCCAATAAATGAAAGCCAAATTGGAACTGACCTCGATATTTTTCTCTTCTTTTTTTTAAAAAAAATTTTTTTAGTTGTAGATGGACATAATACCTTTATTTACTTATATGTGTGGCTGCAGATTGAACCTGGGGCCTCACATATGCTAGGCAAATACTCTACCTCTGAGCCACAAACCCAGCCCAATTTTCCCTCTTCTGAGCATACCAGCACCAGCTAAAAACACAGGGTTAAGGGTCCAACCCAGAATCAGAATCTGCTTTGTAACAAGATCCCCAGGGCGTGTCTGTGCATGCGTGGTCCCCGTTGGTGTCATGCGTACAATCTTCTGCCTCAAAGAATTTAAAATATCATGCTGTATAGCTAATGATTTCATAATTCTGATTGAAAAAGTTGTTACTGCAATCATCTGAAACCAATTTTTATGTTAGGTGTGAAGTATATACTCTAAACTAAGGGGGATGAGTACTGGCACATGCCTTTAATCCCAGCTATTTGGTGGGTACTGAGGCAGGGGAATCACAAGTTCCAGGCCAGCCTGGGCAAGTTAATAAGGCCTTGTCTCAAAAAATAAAAAGGGCTGAGTAATATAGCTCAGTGGTAAAGTACTTAGCGTACATGAGGCCTAGGGTTTGAACCCCAGTACCGCAAACAAACAAGAATAATCTAAAAGTTTTGAAAATGAGTGACCAGTTGTCCTGATAGCCTTTATTGGGAGTCCATCATTTTCCCACTGGGGATATGTTAGGTGGGAAAAAAAGAAAAGCAAATTATAAAACTTCAAGTGTAGTATAATGTTACATTTATTTAAAAAAAAAAAAAAGGGACTGAGCTGGGCTCTGTGGGCAGGCCTGTAATCCCAGCGGCTCAGGAGGCTGAGGCAGGAGGATCCGAGTTCAAAGCCAGCCTCAGCAAAGGCGAGATGCTAAGCAACTCTACGAGCCCCTGTCTCTAAATTAAATACAAAATAGGATTGGGGGTGTGGCTCAGTGGCGGTGTGCCCCTGAGTTCAATCCCTGGTACCACACAAAAAAAGGGGACGGTTTAAAAAAAAAAAAAGCACTCCAAACTGTGATTGCATGAGCGCAAGATTCAGAGCTTGCGTGGTCCCAGGCCTCTAAATGTCCTAATTCCTATACCACTGAGATGGGGGTTCTATGCTGTAATTATTTTGAGCCTGCAAATGAGTTTCTTAAAAGGAGCGCAAACTGGATGACACTGGGTACGCAAAGTGCCCAGATTCGGCGCTCTCGAGGGGCGTGGCCAGGCACCGGCCTGGGAGTAGCTGGGAAGTAGCGTGGCCAGGGAGCAGCGGGGCGAAGCCGGCCGGGACTTCGCCTGGCTGCGAGTGAGGCTCCGCGGCATCCTTCCGGCGTGGCGGGAGCGGGGGTGTGGCCGGCGGAGAGCGGGGCGTGGCCTGGCGGGGGCGTGGCCGCGTCCCGCGCGCACGCGGCGGCCGTCCCGTCGCGGGGGGCGGTTGGGCCGGGGCGGGGCGGGCGGCGGGTAACGGAGGGGCGTGGCCCTGAGGGGTGGGGTTACCGTTGCGGGGCGGGGCGGCGCAGGCGCGCTGCGCGGTGCTCAGCGGTTTCCCTCCCCCAACGGCGCGCCCGCGGTGGCCGGCGCGGCGTCCTGCTCGGGCCGCGTCCCCGCCTCGCCGCCCGCGTCGCCGCCCCCGCGCCCGCGCCCCGCCGTTGGGCCGCGCCGCGCCGGCATGTCGGGCCCCGGGCCGCGGGAGCCGCCGCCTGAGGCGGGCGCGGCGGGCGGCGAGGCGGGCCCCGAGGGCGCGGGCGGCGGGGACGCGGCGCTGGGCGAGTCGGGGCTGAGCTTCACGACCACGGACCTGAGCCTGGTGGAGATGACGGAGGTGGAGTACACGCAGCTGCAGCACATCCTCTACTCGCACATGGAGGCGGCCGACGGCGAGCTCGAGGCGCGCCTCGGCTCGGCGCTGCTGGCCGGCCCGGGCGCTGGCGCGGGCGCGGCGGGCGCGCTGGCCCCGGCGCCGCCCGTGTACCCGGTGCTCTGCCCGCCGCTGGCGGCCGACGCGCCCTGCCTGGGCCACGTCGACTTCCAGGAGCTGCGCATGATGCTGCTGGGCGAGGCGGGCGCGGCCGAGAAGACGCCTGGCGGAGCGGACGGGGCGCGGGCGCGGGCCGACGGCGCGGCCAAGGAGGGCGCGGGCGCCGCGGGGCCCGAGGGCGCGCCCGAGGCCCGGGCCAAGCCTGCCGTGCGCGTCCGCCTGGAGGACCGCTTCAACAGCATCCCGGCTGAGCCACCGCCGGCGCCGCGCGGCCCTGAGCCCCCGGAGCCCGGCGTGGCGCTCAACAAGTGCGTGCAGGGTGTCGGGCCGCCTGCGGGGACTGGGTGGAGACGGGGTGGGGGTCCGCCGCGCCGCCTGTGGGGCTGGGTGGAGAGGCGCGGGCGCAGTCCCGCCACGAAGGGACCCCCAGCTCACCTTCTGTCTGGGTGAAGGAGAGGGTTCAGCCCCCCCCCCCCCACACACACACACACACGCACCAAGGGTCAGCCTGGCCACACGCAGGGTTTGGGTAGAGGGGAGTGTGTGTCAGTGGGACTACAGTTGGCCCTGGGTGGAGGGGAGAGGGGAAACCACCAAGTCTTGGTGTCCCCGTATAAAAGCCACCATCCTGCTCTGACACTGTCTCCAGCAAAGAGCAGGCAGACCCAAGTGTGGGGTGACCTGAAAGGCCCTCTCTGTGCAGGCGCTGAGGTTACAGTTCCAGGTGGCACCTGGAAGAGTTGAGACTAGGACACAGGTGGCCTTGGGCTTTCTTCCTAGAAAAGCCTTTCTGCCTTCCAGAGATCTGATTCCGATAGGGCATGTGCAGAGCCATTCAGAGCTTGCAGCTGCAAGACAGAGCCACAGCATCGTGCTGCCCACTTGGTGACCCACCTTCAGGGGTGGCTGTGGAAAAGAGTGACAGTTCTGTTTTCCTTTGTTCCAAGGCCGTGGTTGGGCCCCTCTAGCCCATCTTTGGCTGACAGATTGATGTCAGGCACAGTCACTCCTTCCAGGAGGAGCTAGCACTGGTTGGTGGTTGTGTGAGGGTGCTGCAGAGCAGGGATCCCGCTCCCAACCAGAGTAAATGTGACCCATTAGTGGGCGAGTGGGTGAACTTCATATTTCTGGAGTCTTTCTGCCATTTATTCTCAGGTTTCTGGGCTTTCTTTTGTCTTGGCAGTTTGGTAACTCTTATTCGACATCCATCTGAATTAATGAATGTTCCTCTTCATCAGCAACAAAACAAATGTACAACATTAGTGAAAAATAAAACCGCTGCAGCAACTACTGCTTTGCAGTTCACCTATCCACTGTTCACAAGTGCCTGCTCCACTGGTGGAAATCCCAGCCTTTCACAGACGCAGGTGGGAAGATGACCAGCCCTCTTGTATTAAACAGGCAGATTTAAGTTCCAAGAACTGTTTTGCCTTTCATAGAACTTAATAACTTTTTAAAATGGAGAACGTTTATGTGGTTTGGGGCTGTGTGAAAATCCTCAGTGAAACAGATTCAAGTGGCATGCCCGTGACTTGAGGGTGCTCTGCTATGTTTGTTTTGCTTGTGCAGTGAAGGGCAGGTTAAGTCCCATGTTCCTAAGATTCCTGTTGTTTCATTTTTTCAGAGTTCTAGCAACTCGTGTTCTATATTGGAAGCTGCCAAGCACCAGGACATTGGACTGCCCCGAGCATTTTCCTTCTGTTACCAACAGGAGATTGAGTCCACAAAACAGACTTTAGGTAGCAGAAATAAAGCTTTGCCTGAGCAGGTTTGGATTAAAGTGGGAGGTAAGTGATAAAGTAGTAGGCTCTTCCAGCTGTGGGAGGGAGGGTGCTGATTGCATGCCCTGGGGACAATCTGTGGGGCCCCCCTATCTTCTCACTTTGAATGTTGTTCTGAGTTTCGAACATTGTGATTGACCTTAGTGTGGAGAACTCTGAGGACTTTCTTAACAGTAAATGACAGACTTATTATCTTCATTACTGAAAGCATTTTATAGATTATTTTTGTTTCATACACTGAGAGCAGGAGTCTGAAATCTTCTGAAACCTTTGAGGTGTGTAATAGGAGGACACTCTAGGTGGGCAGGGATTGGCTAGGAGCCAGATGCCATAAGGGTCAGAAAGACTGGGAAAGAAGTACATTGCAGAAGGCATAGTTGGCATCCTTAAATGCTCTCAGCTCCTTCCTCTGTGAAGAGAATTATTTCTCATATGACTCAGGAGGCTAGTACTGCTCTGCTATGTTTTCATGACTAAGCAGGCAGGATGGGGAAGAGTGCTGCTGCTTTCTCCCTGTCCTTTTCTGTGTCAGGACATTTTATGCAACAGCGCATATTGACATTTGTAAGGAGTAAAGATGAACATTGGAATGGTCCTGTGCTGGTGGCTAGGTTAAGGAAGGAGTTGCCACCAAAGCTTTGGAATATCCCCCTTAAAATGTTCCACCATCAGGAAATTTGTGTGACAGATCCTTCACTTGGCTTTGTGTAGTGTATGGGACTATAGGTCACCACCCCTGCTAAGTGGATTCCTGCTCCTGGTTTGATGGGACCCCAACATCTTTGTGCAGCACATGCCGCAGCATGTAACATGAAGGCTGTGATACCATTTACTGTGCCTTTTGTGTGAAGAGTCACTGCAGGGTGAGGACGTGTTTAATCTTAACCCACCTAACCCACCTTTCTTCTCCTCTGAGTACTGCAGTTAAAATACCAGTTGTCAGAATAATTGTATGTAAAGAAAACCTTTTTTGTAGAAAATATTTCTAGCTTTCTTTTCTTTTTTTTTTTTTAAAAGAGAGAGTGAGAGAGGAGAGAGAGAGAGAGAGAGAGAGAGAGAGAGAGAGAGAGAGAGAGAGAGAGAGAGATATTTTTTTTAGTTCTCGGCGGACACAACATCTTTGTTGGTATGTGGTGCTGAGGATCGAACCCGGGCCGCTCGCATGCCAGGCGAGCGCG